ACCGCTTCGCTGCGCAGCGCCTTGATCTCGGCCGCCAGCTTCTGCCGCCACTTGCGTTGGATGTCGGTCCGGCGGCGCCGGTCCGCTGCGTCGACGGCCATTTCCAGCGTGGGTCGTGGGCGCTAATTACCAATGTCAAGCCGCCCGTGATTGGCCGAAACAAGCCAATCAGGTGCGGTTTAAATCCTGGATGGAACTTCCAGTCCAATTTTGACACTGCGATGGACAGTATTGTCTGTCGCCGCCATGCGTTTCACGGGAGGTCCAGCACCATACGGCACGACCGATAGCCAGTCCTATTACGAATCGAACCGTGGCGTGCGTCAATGTAGAAAGCCGAGTAGAGAGCAGTGCAGAGAGGAACGAGTTCTCTCGTTCATACTACTAGTATGCTCCTGCCCTGAACAGGCGCCCACGAGTCCGGGCTCTACACCGTAAGCACATGCCAATCAACCGGCGCGCTTGCATGGACAGCGCCTGCTTGCATGTGTTAAAAAAAGCTAAAAAGCTATATAATTAATAACAAGCTTCCTGTTTCGGTATGATGGCCACCGCTATCGGCCTCTGCGTGCGATGGCGTAGCTCCGCGGAGTTGTACACACATGACGGCCGTCGTAAAGATCGAGTCTTCGACGACAAGAAGGAGCCAGACGACGTCGTTGATGGAGGGCGTCTAAAGCTGTGCCCTGTGTCCTTTGCATTTCAACAGCCTTTGCCAGATTGTTGCTCGTTTGAATGGACTTAAATATACGAAGCTCGTGCGATCGACGTCACGGTGGAGTGCAACCATCCAGGAGCGCAAAGAGCGTCTCGTCCGAGCGTTGGCCCACGCAGCGGTACACGGCCGTCGCATGGCGCGTGTAAGCTGCGAGCATGTCCATCTCGGACAAGGACGCTGCTGTTGTGAAGCCCATGAGGTTGGCTTCGACGTCGAGTGACACGGGGCCGTGGTCGGTGAAGAAGTGGGACAGGACGTCGAGGTTCCGAAACCGGGTTGTAGTGGGGCCAACGCGGTCCACGACGTACCTAGTCGATCACTCTAAGTATCTAACCCGCAACGATAGACAATATTGTCGGTACCAGAACATGCGGTTGCGGCGGTGGACGCTGGACGAGACGCGTTCGTCGTGGTGGATGTTTTGACCGACAAACACGACGCGGTCTGCATGCGGCTGAAACTCGCGCGTGAGGAAATTGACCGTCTCGGTCGGATTCTCGCGCACTGTGTGCGCATACGTGGCGCCCTGTACGGTCTCGAGGGCCTACGCAAAGGATTGAACAAAGTGCATTGCGTGCGACTGCGTACGTCGTCCTGCAGTAATTCGGACGACTGGACGTCGGTCCAGACCGACCCGGTCGTGTACTGCTGCATCCATCGCCGCAGCGCCGCAGAGACCACTTCCATGGGCAATGGCAGCTCCTTTTGCGTGCGCCAGACGTACTCGAAGAGGTCGTTGGGCGAGAGGCTCATGGCAAAGTCGATCGAGTACGCGTGTGGATCGAGTGCGTCAAACTCGTACTTGGCCAGCATGTTGTCCGTGTTGTGCAGTAGCAGCTGCGTGAGCCAGTCGATGGCGAGCTTGCGCGTGTTGGCGTCCAACGGCAGGTACGTGCGCCGCCATGGCGGGTCCACCGGCGCTCGCTGCTTCGTGTATGAGGACAGGACAGACGTCGTCGTATGGCGTACCGGCAAGACGCGGGTCACCCAGGCACGCATGTTGCCTACGAGGCGCAAGTACGAGGCGTGCTGGAGCTGCAGCATCTTGCGCTTCTTGAGCTTCTCCTTGTTGTCGACGTCGAGCGCGGTCGCGATCTCGGCCCATGGCAGCGCCCGCGACGTGGGCGACAGCAGCTGTCGCGCGAGCTGTTTCTGGAGCACGTCGACCTCGGCCTTGAGCGCCGTGATCTCGCCTGCAATCTTGCTGCGGTAATGCATCTGCTTGATGCGGAGGTACTGGCGCCGCTTGAGGACCGCCGGGTCCACGTCCGCCATCGTCGTTCGGGCTGGCTTTTCTGGGATGGCCGATGGACCAACTTAACTGTGTCTGAGACAGGAGCGGGCGCAACTTTACGGGTGAAAGACAGTACGTTGCACCTTGTATTAGAAATCGTGTTTGCGTCAAGTTGCGCTTTTTAATGATAAACTTTACGGCAAACTGTACGAGAAAGGGCTCGACGACGCTGCGACGTGCCACGCCGACAAAGATGGATCTGACTACCGTGTGCAAAGCACGTGCAGGACGGCCACGGAGCGATTCGGTATACGAGTTTTACTTGGTCGGCGTCCTTGGGGCAAGGTCGGTGCATGTCGTCCTGGTATGGATGCATCGCTCTAATCTAAAATCACACAACGAGGGCGCTGTTTGTGCGCTGCGTCACGCGTGCAAACCCCGTGAAGATGCGTGGAATTAGCCTCGGTAAAATCGAAGTTTCGAAGTTGAAGCCAACCGACAAGTGCAAGATCGCGACCTGTCG